TTTGCAACCTTTTTTTGCGTTACCCGTCTACCTCTGAGCCTCTTTATAAAATACATCCCCTACCTGTCCTGTCCTCATGACACTTTCAAACCACAGATACACTGCAAAGCTGTCCATGTCCTGGGGACCTTTGGAGGGCCAGAAACCAACTGTCATAGCTAAGATCTGTGTCCCATTCTTTGCTTACTTTGGGGCAATGTCAGCCAGTTGAGAATGAATGAGTTTGAGTGAACACAGATATTGGTTCTGTTTGTTAGTTTATACAGTAGTATGGTTGCTGGTTGCTTTAAGTCCTATTTTCGAGCTAGAAGGAAAAGTACAAGTTTGCCAAGTGCTGGGCCTTGTTTTACAGAGAAAACCCACGGTGACAACAACAAAATGAGCAAAGCCCCCAGAGACTGTGCACCATCCCAGGAGAGAGCTACTACATCACAGAGCGGGGCCTAAAATGCTGAGATTCTTGACTGAACAATGCTTTCTCTCCTACAAAACAGGGCCACTATTTCTCACCTATTTTTGATCAGTGTGCATGAGGTTGACCAGTCTTGATAGAAACATGAATTTGGAGGCAAGTTCTAAAAAGATTATACTTTGGAAAATGCCTGGCAGGTGAAGAAGGAACAGTTAGGACAGAAGGGGTGCCAGGGAGGAAGGAAGTAGATGGGTGTGGGGGCAGAGGGGGAGGCCAACTGGTGAGGCAGCTAAGAGTTGGGGAGATGACCATAGCAAGTTAGGGACAGAAAGCCCCAAATCACTGAAGATTCCGTGATGGCTGACGTGGCGCAGGGGAGGCAGTAGGCAACACAGCTTCCAGTGGCTGTCCGACTCTTGAAGTAGACCCAGAATTACAGATTTATGGATCATGAATAAATTGCTGAATATCTACTTCAAAAAACATGCACGGGTTGTGTTTAGGTGCTTAAAAGTACTGTGCTTGGTCCTGTCGTTAAGTAAGTTCAAGAGAGCTAATTCTGATAAAAATGAAAGAGATACAACCGACATAACAATAAAAAATTTGAAAAGCAAACACATAAAGCGATTGCTATGGGCCGGGCATGCTTCTCATCCTTTTGCATATACCGAGTCCTTTAATCCCCCCAACATGCTCCTGAAGTGACTACAGGAGAAACCCCCTTATCTGCGGTTTCGCTTTCCGCAGTTTCAGTTACCTACGGTACACCGTGGTCTGAAAAAAAATATGAAATGGAAAATTCCAGAACTAAATAATTCCCAAGTTTTAAACTGTGCGCCATTCTGAGTTGCATGACGAACTCTGGGACGTGAGCCATCCCTCTGACCAGGGTCTCCTGCCTGTTCGTCGCCTAGTAACCTGCTCAGTTATCAGATCAGATCGACTGTTGTGGTACCTCAGTGCTGATGTCCGAGTAACCCTTATTTGACTTAATTATGTCCCCCAAGCACAAGAGTGATGCCGGCGATTCGGAGATGCCAAAGAGAAGCTGGAAAGCGCTTCCTTTCAGTGAAAAAGCTATGTATGCATAGGGAAAAACAGTATATACGGGGTTCGGTACTATCCGTGGTTTCAGGCATCCACTGGGGGCCTTGGACATATCCCCACGGATACGGGGGCGCTACTGTATAAACACTTAATGTTCTCATTGAGATATCGAAACACTGCTGAGCACCTACTGTGTGCCAGCCACATCTGGCACTGGGAACAGAAAGATGAACTGTTAGAGAAGTATAAAAGGGATTTGGGGCACAGCTTCAAAGAGAGGGCGAGATTTGGATTGAGCTGATATATTAATAATATTGGCAGGGTGGAGAAAGGGAGCCAGAGGAGGTCTTACCCTCAAATTAATGTCATACCCTAAGGCACAGAGACCGTGAGGGACAGGCCGGAGCTGAGAGGGACACACAGAGCAGCGGTCTGGCAGAGGAGGCCTGTGGGCCAAATCCAGCCTGTTTTGTAGATAAAGTCTTATGGAACACAGCCCTGCCCCCCGGCTGACCTGGTCTCCGGCAGCCTCCTGCCTTGCTGCTTACTGGCAAGCTGAACAGCCGCCAGGGACGGAGACTCCGTCAGGCCCCTTCCAGAAAAGTTTGTCCACCGAGTTTTATTACTCAGGGAGGGGCCTGTGAAACAGCAGCAGGGGTACCTGGGCGTGTGGCAGAAATGCGGACTCTCAGGTCCCATCCCAGACTCAAAGAATTAGAACCTGCCTCTCAAAAAGATCTCTGGTGATTCTCATACTCAGAGCGCATTCCGATCACCGGGGTGTGTGGCCAGGAGGAGGCGGTGAGGCCGCAGATGGAAGACATGTATGCTCTGATCCTATACATAGACAGAGGACAGTGGTAAAAATTTTTCCCCATAAAACAGTGGTGCCATCAGTCCACACTCCAGAAAGGTCCCTTGGTCAGAGTGTGACAGCAAGAGCTGACAGCAGAAAGTGGGCGAACAGCTGGTGTCAGAGCCCAGGCAAGAGACCTGAACAAGGCAGGGGAGATCGCAGGGCAGCTCTTTCTTCCTAGAGCAAATGACGTTTTAAGAGATTACTCCAACTTCACTGGTGCCTCTGAACTGCTTCTAACAAACACGGTATCTGTTATAATTTATTAGGAAATAGAGAAATACTTAGGAACAAAAATATTAAATTGGTAATCATGCATTTCCATGTACACCAAATGTATCTCTAAGTAATGCTTCCTGACTGCAATGCATAAATTATGACATTAGCTGGATAGGAAGGAGAGTTAAAGATTAAACGAGGATCTGCTCATCAGCTATCTATTATGTAGGCTGCTAACACATCAGTTCGCAGGATATTTAAAGGTGTAGTGTCTTACGTTAGAACTCCCCCCTCACCCCGCAAATAAATGCATGATTCTGCTTTCGTCTTTAATTTTTTCCATGTTTTGGATGAATAAGCAATCTAAAGTTAAAAAAAAACACACACACACCAAAAACCCCACAAAACAGCAGTTTAGACAACCACACCAATACTGTTCCTTCTTCTATCTCGGCTAACAGCTTCCAAGCCATCGCTTAACATTCTGCCTCCTCAAAAATCCAGAAACGTTTGACAGGGTTATTCGTGGGATTCAGTGTGCTGTAATGGAGTGACAGCAATATAGATAAAAATGGATGAGTGAAAACAGGAAGTTCCTCTTCTTAGGCACTTAGGTTTCATACTTTACATTAATTCCATTGGCAGAAACAATGCAAAAGATAGAAGGCTTGTACATCTGCTCTGAGAAACACAACATAATTAAATTAATAAATCTCAAGAAAAAAACCCCCATCAAACTCATGCTGAGCCGAATCTCTACGGTAAGATTCATTAACAAAAGCCTTAAGAAGTCTATGAATTCAGTACAGTAGTTAATGCCACTCAAAACATAAGTTACTAACATTTACAAAGTGCTTACTATGGGTTTATACTGTACTAAATACCACTGCATAGACTATTTCATTTAAAATCCTCAAAACACCGTGATGTTAGCTCCATCTTATAAATGGAGAAATCAAGGCACAGAGAGGTTAAGTAGCTTGTTCAAGGTCACACAGCCAAACAAGAAGTGGAGCTACGATTTGAGGCTGGGCCTATGATCTTAACCATAACTATTCCCCAGTAGCATCCTCTCCACTTTCCCCTCGTCCCCCCGTGAATCTGCAAAAAGTTTAAATGTAGTGGATTCTCAATTACTAGTATTAGAAACAAAGAAAACCCCCATGATTTGACAAAGTCTTCACGGAAAGGGGGGCACACCATATTGCCCTGTGGACAATGGCCAAAATTTGACCTGTGATATAATAAAACTGAGGAATAACGAGGTATACTCAATTTAAGAAACTGGATTATTTCTCAGTAGGATAAAATGCCAATTAACTCCCAGTAAAATTCTGAAATGTATCATGTAACTACTTGTTAATAAATACAGATGCAGACTTTTAACGATAATTACTATGAATGCATTATTTTCTAGCTGTTTCTGAAACGCTACAGGGAATCTAAAACACAAAATAAATGTGAAGTACTGGACTAATACTATCAGGTTAACATTCCCATATTGGCTGTGCATGTTATTTATTAAGTAATTGCCTGACTGTAAATGAACAGATGTATTAAAGTTGGCACAAGGCACAGCATCCACATGGCACATTCTTTGTTCCGGGAGCTTTATTCTATCGATACTCTTGGGAAAAAGAGAAGTCACTAAATAAATAATGCGAGTACACAAGACAGTGTGGAGGTCTTTAAAATTCCTCAAATTGTCAAGCATCTTATTCAAAGTTCTTTTTAGACTCTGAGCTCATCATATTCCATTTTAAAAACTAATTTTGCCCAGAATCGAGCTATTCTTCAAATTTTAACAGTTTCAAAATAAGATCCAGGTAAAAGCTTATAATATTACATTTCAAACATCAATTTTGCGGATTTTAACATTTTACACTTTAACAGCTTTAAAAAAAAAAGATCCAGGTAAGTAAAAAGAAAATAGGGCAGGGAAAAACAAACAAAAAACCCGAGAAGACAAGAGGCGACAGCAATGATGGAGTGACAGGGTGACCTGAACTCAAAACCGATTCACTAAGCCGCTTCAGGTTTTCCTATTTAACTTTCCCTTTTAAATCAAGAAGGCACACCCTGCTGGTGGTATTTTCACCAATACAGACCCGGGGACACTCTGTTATTTGCAGGTTTGGACCGCAAACATCATCTGGGGGGTTACCTCTGCGTGGACGGTGGCACTACACACGCTTACCGCCGCATGACACCTTGCTCTCCTTCGAGTTCGGCCGGGAAGGACAAAAGGAGCGACCATCCGTGCCGACGGCCCGCTCGCCGGGGCTCGCCCGGACCCCGCTCGGGTTCCCCTCCGGAGGCACCCGCGGGCCACTGCAGCCGCGCTCCGCCCGCCCCGCGCCTCCATCCCCGGGGCCGGCCGGGCGGCGGGGTCCGCGGCCTCCGGGACGTGGGGACCCCCGGCTGCGCAGGGCCCGCCCCGGGGCGCATCCCGACGCGGGCACTCACCTTCTTCCTCCAACTCGAATTTCTCCAGCATGCCGGCTTCCGCGGGTCCCGGG